TATTATCTAGCTTGCTAAAGTAATACAATTTAGCTAAAGGTTTTTGCTTTCTAAAGAAAGATGTACCTTTCATCTTTGTTTTGCAGTGGAAGGACTTTGTGAAGGAATTGGTGCCGGATTGGTGGATGTTGCTATCTGGGTTGGTACTTGTTCCGATTACCCCAAAGGAGATGCCTCTACTGGATGGAACTCAGTGTCTCGCATCATTATTGAGGAACTACCAAAATAAATTCTTTAATTTTCATTTTCTACCTCTTTTTTATTATACCTTTGAATGGTTCATTTTAGTGACATATAATTTTTAGGTATACATCTGAATGAAAAACAAAGTTAAACAAGTTTACAGACCAAAGTGTGATTTCACACTGTTTTTAAGTCCAGTATTATTCATTTTTCCTTCGATCAAAGATGTTCGCAGGATTTTGTAGTTGCATAGAATACTGTCTTCATATTCCCAGTCCCTGAACCTAGAATATCACTGTGGCCTTTAATTTTTCCTGTTCTCTTAGTATAGCACTTTTTAAAATATAAAAGCTAACAGTCTTTGTACAAGTTGTAAATGTTCAAAATTGTTTTATATCTGTGAAATAAAACTTATTTCAAACAACTTTAGTATCTTTAACCTAATTGTCACTAAAATTAGTGTTTCTAGTACTTTCTACCTGAAAAGTTGAGTTAAATCTAAATTTGTATTTATTCATTTAACGATATATTGAATTTTAGCATATGTATAGTATTATTCCATATTTTGAGGGATACAAAGAGAAAGGAAATTTATGTATCAGGAAATATACTAATTAGCACTTTAGGAATTTTATCTTTATAATCTTTACCTTTTTATTTTTAACAAAGAGTAAAAAGACATGAATTCTGGCCTCAAATTGCTTACCACTTGGTAGGGAGGATAAGATATATATACAAAAATAATAAATCAAAGATTATATGTTGAGTGCCATAAAAGTTGTTGAAGGGGCTGGTATAATTCAAAGGAAGATCTGTCACTTCTGCTTGAGGTGATTAGAAAGAATTCATGATGAACAAAGTACAGGTGTAAGACTGATAAAGTTAAGTAAATCCTGGGCTTGAATTGGAAGTGTCAGTAGGAATTCATAAATTACTTTATCTTAAATAAAGCTCTCAAACAATAACAACAAAATCTCCTAGCTTTGTTTACTGAAAAGGCCTAGAAAACAATGACTAATCTAGTAATGATGCCCAGAATGTGATCTCTCTATACAATTTCCTACTCAAAGGAATTAAGGCTCCTTGAACAAATGGATGATTTCATCTCTGGGGCAGGAAATGTACAATATGAGCCTAGAACACTTTGTCACACTGGAAAACAAGGCAACTATGAAAGACAAAAGGATTCAGTATCCAACTTGAATTGGTTCCCACTGGCAAAGATGATAGCAGTTTAAGCATCAATAAAGATAATAGCTGCAATGGTTTGAGCCACACCAAATATGTTTAAATGCATGAGTTCATAATGATATTAACATAAAATTCATTGGTCAACTTAGAGGACACCAGCAAACCAACTTG